GCCTTAAGAAAAGAGAGAGGGGCCTCCCTGGTGGCACAGGGGTTAAAGACAGCACTATTAAGGTATCACCAGCCACCATAGTATGAGTTCAATCCTGGGCCAGGGAGCTACCCACGTGGTGCAGCAGACCTCTCCTGTCTCACTCGCTGCTCCCCTCAGCAGTGTATTTCAATAGATCTGCCAATTCTGCTACCCATGTTCTCTGATGAATTCTCTCACCCCTCGCATCTCTGGCCTGTACCCCAGTTCTTGTATGCATAAATAAATAAATCTTTAAAAAAAAAAAGAAAAGAGAGAAAGTAAGTGGAATTTGTAGAGGCTTTTTTCCCCCCAACAGTTCCCCAAACCCTAAACTTCTTTCTTTAGCGAAGTAAAGAAAGTGGTCAGTGGAATAAACTAATTCGTACTAACATGTGAATGGCTCTAGGGGCACATGCATTTGCACAGGAAGCAGCCACCCCTTATCCTAGCTGGTTGTTGGTGTCATGGCAGTGGCATCCTCAGCAAGGCTGGGTTTGCCCCCGGTCTACTTTCACCAGCTGTGCCCATGAGTAAGTTCCCTCATCTTGCTGCGACTCCTTTTGCTGAAGCCTGAATGACACCTCCCTAGTCACGCTCCAGGTTTGTGTGAAGATAAAATGAATCCGTGAACACAAAGAGCGTTTGCTCATTGAAATGTCCTAGAGGGAAAAAGGGATTGATACTGCCAGGACTTTGGGGCAGGGTGGGGCCTCCTCACTCTCCAAGTCAGACCTGAGTGGCTGGTGGCCCCGCATGGAAGCAACCTCCTCTTTCATCTTAGAGCTGCCAAGCAGAGAAGGGCACCCTGCTATTTCTTTCATCTTTCACCCCACCTCCTGGAGGAGGGAGAGCCCCAGCCAACCTTCCTAGTCTCACTCACCTCAGACAGTCTTTGATAAGGCCCCCTGCCATGGTGGCAAGGACCCCTTCAGAGGTCAGATCACACACATCCCGCTCTCAGAACGCACCCTGGCCAGGCTTCCCTCCTTATTGGGAGCATGTTCTCCAGGTAGCTTCTGCCGAAATATCTAGGAGCAACCCAAATTCTCGCTAGCCCAGCCATGTCTCCATCCTCAATTCTCCATTCCCGTGGAGCTGGGGACACTGAACTGCCTCGCACATCTGAGAATTCCAGGTCATCCGGGCCTCTCCAGAGGGGACTGTTTTTCCTTGCCCTTTTCACCCAAAGCTCCCCTCACTCTCTCTTCAAGCCCCCAATTCTACAACTTCTGGGGCCCGGTTCCTTCCCTCTCTGACAGCTGTCCCCACGCCTTCTCACTGCAGTGGGCTTAGCAGGCCCTCTCCAGACTCCCTGACTGCCAGGGTGCAGGGGCACAGCACTGATGCCAGCAGGACAGCACATTGGGGGCCACAGAACGCTGCCCCCTTTCCACCTGCCAGCCGGGGACCCACCCAAGACTTCCCACTTCAGGCCACTCTCCCTGCTCACCTCATGCCCATCCTCCACATTCGAGAAAATTCCCAAAGCTCCCAGGGCCTCCACAGTCTCATCTCTGTGCCTGCTTGGAGTCATGTGCCCGCACGTGCCTGGGGCTGCAGTTTGCATGCCCAGAAAGCAAGGACCATGTCTTGCTTTTGCAGCCCCAATGCCTGGCACAGAGCAGGTACTCAAAACCGCGTTTCTTGAATTTAATTGTACCTGATGGTTTGGGGGACACCCACCCAGCAACGCTGCCAGCTCCCAGGAAGTCCCCCTCTGCTGAGGGCAGTCGGCAGCCACATTGCCATCTCTGGAGTTCCTGCCATTGGGGGTCGGCCCGTCTGGGTGAGCAGAGGCAGCCAATCTGAGACGCAAGGGTCAGTATGGGCGACTCGCCTCTTACATAAGTTAATTTAATGCCTAATTTCATGGAAAATCATCTCTTCCTCAATTCTGGGTGCTTGGGAATGATGTTTGAGGTTTGAGCCTGGGTCTGGCTACTCCAAGCTAGACCTTGACTAGAGAAAGATCCAGGGCACCAAACTCCAGGGAACAGTGGGTCGTTTCTTACCTAGAACTGAGGGCCCAGGAGGATAGAGCTGAGAACCCAGCCCTCTGATAGGAGATCAGGGAACAGAGCCCCCAAATCAACCAGAGACCTAGATCTTTCTAAAGTGGTTAGTCTCCAATGAGCTGACACAGCAGCAAGAGCAACCAGAGTAAGTCAACCCAAGAAAATCTTTGGGCTGGGGGCGCTGACAGCAGCAAGGTGCAGGAAACTAGAGTCCCCGGAGTCTCCCCTGGGTGCTTTAGGAACCAGAGCCAGCTTGGTGGGTGGCTGCCTGGAGACAGGGCCCCAGCAGAGGTGGCCTGTCCATTACTGATGGGCCTTACTCCCTCATCTGTACTGCCTCGGGAGGGCCTGGCACCCAGGAGCAGAGGGAGCTCCACTGGGCTGGCCAGGGGGTGGGAGGCAATGATGCAGCACCCGCCTGGGTGTCCTCTGACTGGTTGGGTGATTCAGGTCCTGCCAGCACCTCGGATGTGCCAGGGCAAGTCCCAGCCTTCCCAGCATGCCTGGTGGAGGCCATGCTTCCTCCCTCTTCCCTCTGGAGGTTATGCCGGCCCTGTCTTCAGCTCTGCCCTTAAGCAGGCCAGGGCCTCCCTGGGGCCTGCATGGCATGTCCCCCAGGGGAAGCCCTGGGGGTGGCATGGGGCAGGCACCCACACCCCATGTGTCCTCTGGGCCTCAGGGGCACCCTAGCACTAGGGGAGCACAGGCATCATTATCACGTTTCCAATAAGGGGACAGGGCCCAGGACCTCAGAGCCAGCAAGTGGCTGGGACTCAGCTTAGCCAGGCTCACCCAGGCCTCTCTGGAGCCACAGCACTTTGGGGCAGGACCACTTTGTCTGTGAGGCTTAAGGGTGAGGCCTCTGGACTGAACCGGGGAAAGAGGAGCCCTGGAGGCCTCGATTGGGCCTAGACTGCTGCAGTCACCACAGCCTGGCAACTTTCTCCCAGTTGTGCCAAGAGCAGGCCTCCTGCCCTTGACCTCCCCCTGGGCTGAGGAATGAGGAGCAGGTGTACCCGCCTTGGGTGAGCCCTTCTTACACTCTAGACCCTGCATTGAGATTTTGGGGTGCAGGATGTTCTGCACTCCAACCTGCATTGTTTCCCCTCCTACTGGGCAGTGAGGAGACTGGTCTGAGGGCAACCAGAACCTTGTCTGAGGGAAAAAGGTTTGAGCCCAGGGCTGGCAATCCAAAACCCAGGCTCTTAATATTGGGGTCTAGACTTCACTTAAGGAGCCACCACTAAAGGGAAGTGACCCCCACCCCCACCCAAAGTCCCTACAGGTGCCCTGCCGCAGCTCTCCCCTCCTGCCTAGGCCTCTCCCCATCCCCTTCCCTCCCCCATGGAACCTGGAGTGGGGGCTGGGGAGTGCAGCCTGAGTCCTCCACATTTGTCCAGCTGTACCTGCTGCAGCCTGGGGGCCCCCCCGCTTCAGGGCTGGATGTGCCAGCATGCTTGGGCACGTGCCTACTTCTCTCAGGCCAGCTGCCTGCCCGCCAAGTGCTGCCGCAGCCGTCAAACCCTGAGTCCAGGCAGAAGAACCATCAGCTGGGTCCTCAGGACAGAGGCTCTGGGGAGACCTGCCTGTCAGCCCTGCAGCCTCAAGATGGCCCCCGCAGAGGAGACTACCCTGGCTGTGTCTCACTTCATGAATCTTGGTGGAAGAGGGAGGAAGTCCAAAGTGGGGCAATTCACCCCCTTTTTACAGAGGGAAGAGGCTCAGACACAAACAAGGAAGTGCCATTGACCATCAGAAGAATTGAACCCAACTGGACCCAGGACCCAGCACAGTGGGGCAGGCCTTGCTGGAAGGGGACAGGGTTTTGCTGGACGTCTGCCCTCACAGGCAGGGCCAGTGCTGTCCTTTCTTGGATTTGGCAGGGCTCATCTTTCCCCTTTCCAGGTTGTTTGCTTGCAACCTCAGGATCAGCTGAGAACGCCCAGGTCCTCCCACCCTGCCCTCCCCCCTTCCGTGTGGACTGTGGTTAGCTGTGACATTTAAGAGCCAGGCAGGGAAGGCACCTGACCTTGGGGAGGAATGCGGGAAATGTCTGCAGCCTGAAGCAGTCACCCCCCACCTGGTGTGCAGGAATGTAGGCTCTGGCCCCCAAGGGAGGGGTGTGTGTGTGTGTGTGTGTGTGTGTGTGTGAGAGAGAGAGAGAGAGAGAGAGACCCGAAGGCCCCAGAAGGTCACCCAGTGAAATGCCCACACGCTTACAGGCGGTGAAGCTGAGCTCTCATGGCTGCCTCCTCCAGACACCAGCCTCGCCTGGTCTGATCCCACAGGGCAGATACCTGACTCCGCCACCTCCTCCAGACTGAGGCAGCCCAGCAGACCTCTCACCCTTGACATCTCAGACCCACAGAACCACGGAACCGGAACGTCTGAGACCTTGGAAATGAGCAGTTACCGCATCTGTTTTGTATTACAGGTGTGAGAACTGAGGCCCAGAGAGGCCATAGATGCACTGATTTTGTGCCAGGGCTCTGGGGTGGCTCCTTGCCTTTGTGCCCAAGGCCACCCAGCCCCTGGCCAGCAGGTGACCTGTGCTCTGATGGAAAGAGAATTTCTAAGTCACCCTTTGTGATTGAATCCTGAAAGGGTTGGTAAGGAGGCTGCTGCCCTCTTGTGGCCAAATCTAGACATGACCGCTGTCATCTGAGCCTCTGGTAGCTTCTCTCTAGAAGCTATGAACTCTCCCAAATACCCTTTTCCTGGAAAGTGCTCTTAAAGGGCTGGATGGAGCGGGCATCACTTCACCGCCCTCTGGCCTAGAGCCATAACTGCTGTAGATGCCCAGAGCAGGATGGGAAGTGGGGATGATGCCTTCTTCAATGTCAAATCCTGCAGAAGACCTTAGGCCAAGTAAGGCCCAGACTGTGTTTCCCAGAATGCGGAGTATGGGGAGAAACTCAGTTTCCATGGAGACAAATTAACCAACCAAACACTAGAAAGGATGATTTGAAAATTTAGAGAATATTTATTTCTCGGGAAGTTCCACAACAGCTGGCAGGCACTGCCCTCCCCTGCTCTAAGGAGCGGACCTCTCTCTCCTTTCTGGAGAAATCCCTTCTCTTCGGGTAGTGCCGGTGGGAAGGCTGGGATGTTAAGAGAAACCATACACAACACCCCAGAGCCTTAAAGAATAAAGCAACAAACAGCCTCCTCACACAAACGCACATGTACAAAATCAAGAGACGTAGAAAAGAGAGGCTTTGCTCCTCCCACTCTGGCTGGGCTGCTCTGCGGGATGGGTTGGGCAGCTGGGCCCCACCCTCCCAGTCTGGATTATGCAGAGGCTAACTGGTACGGAAGTGCCCCACAGCCAAGAAGCCCTGGCTTCAGAAAGAGGAAGGGCTACAGCTCTCTGGAGCTGGGCAGGGAAGATATGGGGTCAGGTACGAAAGAACAAATAAATAAATAAATAAATAGAACCCAACGTGCTCCCAGAGGCCTAAGGACTTAGGTTGAGGCTCAGGGCCCCTGGGGCCTGTTTCCCTGAAAGTAGCAGATTCAGTGACAGGCGGAAAAAATAAAAGGGGGAAATGCAAGTCCAAAGCCACAGCCTCCTGACCCCCGGGCCTGCATCCTTCAGATCCCAGGAGGTCCTGGCCCAGAACCCAGCTTCGGACAGCTCTGGTGGGAAGAGGCTAGCTCTGGCCTGGAAGATACCTAGGGACTGGGGGACCATTCCCCTCTTTTCCCTGCACTGTCTGGGGCCCTCAGTCTCTGCCCTCACTCTTGCCTTCACCCTGACCATGTCCAGGAGGGAACCAGAGTCGCCTCCAGGGCGGCTCTTCCCTGGTGGGCTGAGGCATGGCTCTCTCCTGCTCCCACGCCCACTGGCCATGCTGACCCTCGCAGCTAGAGTCAGCGGGAAGAAGTCCTCGTGCAACAGCAAATTATCAGAACAGTCCATCTCCGGGTCCTCCTCTGCTCCATGTGCTCACAGGTGTCCCTACAGTCTCCAGCGGGGCCACCTCCAAGGCTCCCTGCAGGCCAACAGGGAGACGGCATCTGACAGAAGGAAGAACAGAGAAGGGGCAGGCGCTGCTGGACAGACACTGGGCAGGAGGCCAAACTGGACACATGAAGAAGTCTGAGGGGCTTGGGAGAAGCCTGGCCAGCCGGGGGCCTGGTGAGCACGGGGAAGGGGGGAGCTGGCCACTCAGCTGGGCAGCAGCACATGCTCCAGGAGGTAGGTGAGGGAGTCCCAGTGCTTCCAGAGGAGGAAGAGGACAAGGACCAGGAGGGCGGTGCTGGTGATGCGCAGGCGGGTCTTCATGAGGGGCGTGATGAAGTTGGCAATGGTGGACACGAACACCAGCAGCACGGCCATGAGTGCCAGGATCACGTTGATGAACTTGCCCAGCAGTGCCCTAGCGTTGGCATTCTCCACGCCCTCCAGCTGCACCACCTGTTGCTGCTGCTGCTGCAGCTCCAACTTGGTGACCCGAGTCAGGCAGGACTCCACAGCCTCCTACAGGGGTGGGGAAGGGAGGCTTAGGTGGGCAGGACCCCGGGTGGAGCCCCACCTCCCCATTGAAGAGGTGACCACGCAGTGTGCCCTCCAGATGCCAGGCAGGGGAGCAGGGGAGGGCGGATGGGCTGAGGCAGGGGGCAGGGCCTTTTGTCTATGGTTGTTGGGGAGGAGGCTGGTTCACATGGGAAGGGAGGAGCCAGCCTCATCCTGGCTTCTGCTGGAGGCAGCTGAGAGTCTCCAAATGCCAAGTTCAAAATGCCAATTCATCGGCAAGGCTGCCATCAATGAGGTGGGGCCAGGTGACTCCCGCCAGCATGCCTGCCTCAGCCTAGCCTCTTCTCTACCCCACCCCACCTGCATCTTCACCCATTTCCCAGCAGCCTTGGCCAGTGAACAGCCTGGGCCCAAAGCCCCCACCTTGCAAGACCAAGACCCCCTCTTTCTGCCTCCCCGGGGTCGGGCCCCGCTCTACCTGGATGTCCCGGGCCCTCTCATAGGACTGGTAGGCCACCTTCTCCTCCATGCTGGCCAGTTCCTGCTTCAGGTTGGTCATCTCGTTCTGGTGGAGCTCGGTCAGGTCGTTGAGCTGCTCCTCCAGCCGCTCGTACCTGGCAGAGTAAGGAGGTGTTACTGAGCCAGATCCCCAGTCTCCCTTCTCCCGGAATCCATTTCATTCATGTTCCACAGTGAGTCAACCCTCCCCACGCCTTCAGCCCTGTTCCAATTTTAACAGCGACAACAGCGAAAGCTACTATTTACAGAGCGTTCTATGGGCAGGCACCGTGCCATGCTCCCTCAGGGAGTCTCTCAACCCGGAGGGGATCACCAGCGTCACTCCATCTTACAGATGATAGGCATGGGGGGACTGAGGAATGTGCCTAAGACCACACATTCGTGAGGGAGGAGCCAGAGCAGACTGGCTGCTGCCTGGCGCCAAGGCCCCAGCCCAGTGCCATCCCCGGAGCTGGCCCGGCTCTGAGGGCATGAAAGGTGCCAAGGTGACAACTGGGTGGGGTGGTTCAGCCTCAGACCCAGTTACCCCTCAACTTCCCAAACCTTCATATATATGAAGAAAACGTGCTAAGGCAAGATCCCCAAGAATCCTAAGGAACAGGTGGCAAAGGCTACTTGAGGGGCACTGAGCAGTGGGGCGGCGGGGAGGGCATGCGGGACCAGAGGCCCCAGACCCAGCAGTCTTGGGTGCCGTGGGGGTGTTCCAGGGCCTGGGTGCCAGTGTTTGCATCCTGACCTCACAGGCCTGGACTCGGCATCTCCTCCAGCTGAGGAGGCAGGCCTTCTCACTGTGCCCACTCCCCAGGCGAGGAGATAGGTGTGGGGCTCTAGCATTTTGCTCAGGTAGCTGGGATCTGAACCCAGGTAATCCAGATGCAAGGTCAGTGCTCTCAACCAGTGCCTCTCTGGATGAGGACAACATCTGGTCCCTGCCTCAGTTTCCCCTTCAGACTGATCACACAGTCATCAAACAGGAAAACTCAAAGCCCCTGAGAGGAGCAGGACTTTCTTTCCATGGGTCCTATAATCATCGCTCCTGGCTGCCCTGGGAGTTGCACGAAGTAGCCCAGACCCCTTCCCGGCCTCCGCCAGCAGCCCGGACCCCTTCCCAGCCTCCGCCAGCTCAGGGCCCTTCCAGACATTCTTTTTTCTGCCTCTACAAGCCGGAGCCCGAAACAGGGCACCTGGGCCAACACCAGTGGCTGTCCAGCCTCGGGGCGGGCGGGGGCACGCACCTGTAGCGCTCTTCTTGCAGGCACTGGGTCATGTAGGTGTAGTCCCGCTGCAGCTGCGCCTTCAGGTCCTCCATCGAGTCCTCCAGGTGGGACTGGCCCTCCTTGATCTCCCGCAGCTCCTCCAGCAGAGTGTCCAGGTTTCCAGAGGCCCCATACAGTGTGTTCGACTTGGGGCTCCCCAGTGCCCCAGCAGGCCCTGCCCCGGAGTTGCTGCCGGCCCCAGCTGAGCTGGCGCTGGCACTGGAACACTCATCGTCACTGCCGTACTTGGGGCTGGACACGAGTGTGGCGCTGCCGCTCAGCGCCCGGGCTGCCTCCTCAGGGGGCCCATCCTCCAGCGGGTCCTTCAGGTGGGCGATGTTGTCGGCGCTGCCAAACTTGTTGCGGATGAGGCTGGCGAACTCACGAGGCTTGGATACCACGGCGGTGTGGGTGGCCTGCGAGAGGCCCGAGAGGCTGCCCTTGACGCCCTCCACCACGCCGCCCCCGAAGCCACTGATGCCGGCCCGGACGTTGGCGCCCACGTCCTTCAGTCCCTGCTGCATGTCCCGCAGCACGTCCTTGGGCTGCCGCGAGGGCCCATTCTGCTCTATCTCCTTCAGCCGCCGGCGGTAGTGCTCCAGCTTCTTGTGCAGCTGGGCAATGGTCTGGGCCGACTTCTGGTTCTTCTTCTCAAACACCTGCTTGATGCGCGACACCTGCTGCTTGTCCGCATTGTTGGCCAGCTTCAGGTACTCCGCCACGTTGTCGTCCCGCGCCTCCTGCTCGATCTTGATCTGCTCCGTGATCTTCAGGATCTTCTGGTGCAGGTGGTCGATGGCAGCCTTGGTCCGCTGGGGGTCCGGGGCACCCTCCGGCACATCCAGGCTGACCGGGCCATCGGAGTCACCATGGCCAGAGCTGCCGGAGAGGTTCAGGGCCACGAGGTCTCCCTTGTCAACCTGGGGTAGAGGCAAGGGGAAGACGCGTGAGTACCCCAAGAAACTGAGGGAGGGGGCTTGGAGGGACCCTCTTGTGTGCCTCTGGGCACCTCTGGACTTGGTTTACTGGCCTGGAAAATGGGTGCCAGTAAGAATGGGATGAGTAAGAAACTTCATGGAAAGAGCAGAAAAGAGTAACCACAAGAGAGTTCCCTGGCCACTGCCATTTAGAAAGGGCCCTCACTCTTCCTGGCTTCCCAGCCCTGTAACACCCCAAAAGCAGCCTGGGTAGGACTGAGAGCTCCAGGAGGGGCTCAGGGACACAACTACAGACAGACAGAACCTCCAGCCCAGCACGCTCATTGCTCCATCACACAGACCAAGCAGGTCTGAGGCTTCCCAGAGACTTCCCCAGGGAGAGGCCTCTGAGCTCAGCCACTTGGGCAGCCTCTCCCTCAGAGCTGATGGAGCCTGCACCACCCCCACCAGGAGCCTCTCCATCCTCCTAGCCCACTTCCCTTATACAGTTCTGTGGGTCACTCCGCCTCTGCTGATGCACCCCCACCCCAGCCTCCGCATTACCTTCCCTGGAGTTGTCAGCAGCCTCTTCCGCTTCATCAGAGTGGGAGCTCCGGCCCCTCCCGTCTCCCAGAACAGAGGAGGTCACACACATGAGCACCCACCCCTCTGGCCAGGTCCCCAAAGCCTCAGGTCCCAGCAGCAACCAGCCAAGAGAGGCAGGGACCAATCTGGGGCCCCAGCCACCCAGCTTGAAAGGGGGTGAATGCGCAGGAAGGCGGTGACAGTCCCTTTTCCTTGCTGGCAGGCAGGGTGGCTTCCGAGCACATCAGGGTGACACAAAGAAAGGAGCCCAGAGACTAGGAAGGGGGAGGGGAGGGTGAGCAGGGAAGGAAAGGTTACGGGCGGGCGACAGGCAAGAAGGGAGCTGTGGGGTCAGATGGCAGTGGCAGGTCTAGAGCACCGTGGGCCGTGCCCCTGGGCCTGGGAAGACGGCTCTGTCCACAGCGAGTCCCCAGTGTCTTATCATCATGCAACAACGGAAGTAGCAGGAAATGGCTCAACCCCATGTATTTTTACACACAGCACACCCCGAGTCAGCCCGGGTCAGGTCTTTGCTCTTTCTATGGGGGGGGGGGGCGAGCAGGGCGGGTGAGGTATGTGTAGGGGAAGAGGTTAAACACAAAGAAAGTGGCCGAGTCACAAACACCAGAACGGGAAGCGGCACGTGCCAATAACAGGCAGAAGTCACTGGGCTCTGTTTCTGTACAAAGTGATTGGAAAACACTATTGAAAACAATAGCCCCGCCAGCTCCGGAGCCAGGGAGGGTGGCTCCTCCATGGGCTTCCTCTGGGGACTTTTCAGGTCACAGCTTCACCGAGGGTGCTGGGGACAGTGCCAGCCCCTTCCTGATCTCTCCCAAAGTTGACTTTCACTTTACATTTGCTTTGGGTTTCCTTAGGGGCCCCCTCACCCTCCCACCTAGTGCTCAGACCTTCAGCACCCTGCTCCTCTAAATGTCTGACCTCATATACAAGAGGAGCCAATTCTGAAATCTCCCTCAAAACCCCATCCTGCAAGGAACCCCTCCTCCCACACCATTCCCTGCAGGGACGGCAAATGGGCCATCACTCAAATTCCCAGATCTTTGGTGTCCCCACCTGCAAATGTGGGTCATCATATGTCCCCACAGTTCTTTTGTGAGGGTCGTACAAGATGATGTCCTGGCTCAATGCACACAGAAGGCACTTACTAAGTGCTGTCTGGACTTAGATGCCACTGTGCATCTCCAATTGTGCATCTCCATGCAGAGGACAGCGCCCGCCTCACACCTGGAGATGTGTGGGAGGAGTGAATGAAGGGCTGATGGACCAGGACATGCATGAAACAGCCAGTTCTCCGCTGTCCGGGCTCTGCTCTGGCAACCTGTTTGCTGTCTTTCCTCCCTCGACCTGACACCTGCGTAGCTTGCAAATGGAAAAGCAGTTGGCGCTGGCTGTGAAATCCCCATGAGTAGGCCCACCATGGGGGCTGGGAGCCCCTCTTCCCAGGCCCAGGGGTCTCATGGCAGCCACAGCTCCTTCTTGCCTCCACCAAGGTTCAATGTCTGCTTCTGCCTCTCTTTCACAGAACACCCCACCGTGTTCTTCCTGTCAGGAGGAGGCAGCGCGCCCCAGGGACACCCCCACATGCACAGCTGCAGAGCCCTTTCAAGAGTGGAGAGACATGGGGTGACAAAGGGACAGAGCCCAGGAGGTGGCAGGCAAACAGGCTGAGATATGAAGAAGGAAAGTGAAAGCATGAGAAGAGAAAGATGAGAAAGCTGGTAAGAGGGAGAGAAGGTGTGAGAGATGAGAAAGAGATTTGCCAAAAGAAAAAGAGTAGCAACAAGATAGAGACAGGCCACAGGGTCCGAGGGGCAAAGGGCAGGGCGCGGCGTTGGGGACCCAGTGGCATTTCCACGGGCACACAGCTGGTGAGACATAGCCGGCTTGAAAGCAGCACTTGCCTCCAAATTCTCACTTTGCTCTTTGCTGCTTTTGTTTTTAAACTTCCCCTGACTCAGTTTCCTTATCTGGAGAAGGGGAGTAATTCTGAAAGGAGACCCAGTCTCAGGGCAGACAGCAGCTGGTCCAAAGCCACTAGGGAGGCTGCAGTTGAAAAAAGGAAGACATTGGGGTCACCAAGGATGGGAAGGGATCGACCCTGGTACCTTGCTAGTGAGAAAGAAAAATAGAGCCATCTGGAGAGCAGTCTAGGGGTTCCTCCAAAAAGCAGATTTACCACGTGATCTGTCAATTCCACTCCAAGGTACAAACCCAAAAGCCGTGACAATGGGTGTTCAGACAAATGCCTGGAAACACAGACAGCGCTGTCCACAGCAGCAAGGGACTGGCATGAGGCAGATGCCCGCCGTGCACCAGGAAAATGGTTGTGTCCACCCAGGGGAGGACCACTTGGCCGTACAGGAACCGGACACTGATACATGCTCCATGGATGACACAAAGGGCCACCCGTGAAGGGCCTCACTCACAAGAAACATCCAGAATATTACAGCCACATAGAGAGAATGATTAGTGGTTGTTGGGGACTGGGAGAAGAGAAGGAGGAGTGGCTTAATGGCATGGGTTTCCTTTGGGGGCAATGAAAACGTTCCGGAACTAGACAGAGGTGATGGTGGCAAAGTCAGCTGTGCAAGGCCAGGTCCTCTAACCCGCTGGCCTGGGCTGCAGCTCCAGCCAGCATCCTGTTCCAGTGGCCCGTGGGAGGGCATCTGGGCCCTGCACCTCACAGTCTCATTTTCTTTTCTTTAAAGATTTATTTATTTATTTATAAGTAAATGGCTATAGTCAGAAGCACGGGAGGATGAGAGAATTCACCAGAGCCTTGGGCCTCCCTGGTGGTGCAGCGGTTGTGAAGTTGCCCGCAGCCTCTACAGCACCAGTTCGATCCCCGGCCACCAGGTGAGGGTCCCACATGGCACGCAGACCTCTCCTGCCGCCCGCTGCTCCCCTCAGCAATGTACTTCGGTCCTTCTGCCTGCTCTGCTCTCCGCTCTGACTCTGGTGAATTCTCTCACCCTCCTGCACTTCTGACTGTACCCAGTGCTTGTATAAATAAATAAATCTTTAAAAAAAAAAATTCACCAGAGCCAGAGTGGGGAACAGAACAGGCAGATCGATGAAATACACTGCTGAGGGGAGCAGTGGGCGAGGCAGGAGAGGTCTGCGCGCCATGTGGGACCCTTGCCAGTGGCTGGGGATCGAACCGGTGCTGCAGAGGCAGCGGGTAGCTTTGCAGCCCAGCGCTCAACTGCTGCGCCACCAGGGGAGGCCCTCACAGTCTCATTTTCAACAGAGCAGAAGCTCTTCCTCCCTCACACCCACCCACTGTCCTGCGGCTGGGGACTAAAAAGATGAGCCACACAGATCCCCCTCCCCCCTGCCTCCTCCTGCCCTGGCCCCCAAGGCCCTGCACCCCCCAAGGCCCAGCACTCCTCTCCTCTAGTCCACAGCCTTCCCTTCCCATTAGGTCTACCCCTTGGTTCTGGCCAAATCCACACCTTCCCTGTCACTAGCAGGCTAGCCCCCCAGCCCCCAGCATGGTGAGGGCCGCTACACATGCCCCTCTGTTCTTCTCACAAAGCTGCCACAGAGCCTCACAGGGCCGTGCCCCCAAACCCTGTGTCCACAGCCAGCTGCCAGCCACACAGCTGAGACTGTCTGGCCACCCCACTCTCCTGTCCACAGAGGCTGAAAACTTCAGACACTGAGCCCAGGCGAGGCAAGCTCGAAAGGGAGAGCTGTGGGGGGAGCCTCGCTTCTCTCATCACCCTCATCCAGCCCAGGGAAACTGGGGGGTACAGGAGATTCCCTGCTCCAGGTAGTCTGGAGCAAAGCAGTACCCAGTGGCCAGGGCTAACCGAGACTGAGGTCTCAGCGGTGCTCACACTCCTGTATGTGCCCCTGCTCCAGGAGGCCCACATTGGGGTGGAAGCCCCCACCATTTGTCCTCTCAGCACTGCAGACTCCTCCCTGGCCCTCACAACCACTCAGACTGAGCTGAATTAGGCACTGGGCCTGGTTCAGGCTCCCCAGCCCTGGCTCCTGAAGCCCTCCCCAGCACCCACCTTCTCAGGGCTGAGCTCTCCTCCTGGCTAGGCCCGCTGCCCCTTTGCAGCACCAGCCTGGGCCTGGGCGCCAGGCGGGGGCATACAGCGGGCACCAGGATGGGGGGCCAGGCTTCCGGGAAGAGAAGGGCAGTGGCCGAGTAAGCTGTGATGCGAGTGTTGTGGGTCCACATGCCACCTCAAGGTGGGCCCACATGCCACCTCAAGGTGGGCCGTCAGCAGCCGCCACTGGCAAGGTCTGTGTGTGCCACAGTGGCTCCCAGGAGACTTGGGCCTCCCCACCTGTGCTCCCTCCTCCAGAGGCTCCTCCACAGAGCTACAGAGTGCACCTGTGCCCGTCGCAGAGCAGGTGGCTCGGACGGGGCTCCTGCC